CCCCGCCAGCCTCGCCCTAACTCAAGATGCGGCTCCTCACTGGCTTCTTCCTGCGTGGCCCACCCTGTGCTGCTGGCTGCTGTGCTGTCTGCTGGTGCTGCGGCGGGCGTGCGTGGCGCGTGGGCTGCTGCGGTTCCTGCCTGATGCTGGCTGTGGCTGCTGCCTGCGTGCAGGACCTGGCCCGGCGGGACCCCGCAGCGCTGGTGGCGCAGTACGAGGCGGGGCAGCTGCCCATCACGGAGGCCACCGTGACGGAGTACGTCAAGGCGCTCGCCGCGCTGGACCGCCTGGACGGGGCCGCCCTCCTGCGCACCATGCACCAGGGTCAGCCCTCGCTCCCCCCTTTTCCCCCCTGCCTGTGCAGTGCTGTGCATGGTAGCGAGACCAGCGATGGGCAGCTGCGGTGATCATCGGTCGCACATTTGACGGGGTGCCCCTGCCGGCTGTGTTGCAGGTGCCCCCCACTCCGCGAGCCCCCCTCTCCCCCCTGCCTCCCTTGGGGCCGCTGCTGCAGACATGGCGGGAGGAGCCTTCCTACCTGGACAAGGGGCTGTCACAGCAGATGGGGTAAGGCATGACACGACAGAGCTCTGAGATACGCCCCTAGCCGGCAGGAGCACTGCCATGTCTTCCCAAACCTTTGGGCGCGTGCCGGCTGTGCTCATGCCTGCTGCCTGCCTGTCTTGCGAGGCCCTCTCTGCTGCGTCCCCCTGCCTGGCTGTGGCCCCCCTTGCGCTGCGTTGGTGTGCCGTGGGCGTGACGCAGCGTGCTGCGTGCGGGTGCGTGCAGGTGTTGGGCACGGCCAAGGCGCCGCTGCACATGGTGACGGCGGACGGGGGCTGGAAGCGGCAGGCGTGGGCCACGCTGCGCACGCTGGGCACCGCCTTCCTCGTGCTCTCCGCGCTGGGGGCCATGGTGGAGGACAACAAGATCGGCAAGAGTGAGCCGCGCCACGCTGTGTGGGGCTGCAAGAGCCTGGCTCCACTGACAGAGCAGTAGCCCAGCCGTCCTGAGCCATGCGCCTCCTGGTGGCGGCCACGTGCTGACGGGCCCGCCCGTGTGGCTGTGCAGACCTGGGCCTGAGCGAGGAGGTGCAGCCGGCGCTGGAGAGCAGCACCAAGTTTGCGGATGTTAAGGGCGTGGACGAGGCCAAGGCGGAGCTGGAGGAAATTGTGCACTACCTGCGCGACCCCAAGGTCAGCCCCGCCTCCACCACCCCGCCCCTCCGCCTGTCGCTGCCCGGCCGCCAGCATGGGGGTTTCGTTTGAGGTCAGCCACAGAACTTGGTGGGGGACTGATGCATTCCGTCGTCCTGTGTGCGCAGCGCTTCACCCGGCTGGGGGGCAAGCTGCCCAAGGGCGTGCTGCTGGTGGGCCCTCCTGGGACGGGCAAGACCATGCTGGCCAGGGCCATTGCAGGGGAGGTGAGGCACAGAAGCACCGCACAACACAGCTGCCTGACAGATGCCAGGGACGAGCGCCTCGCACTACCCCAGGGGCTACTCAGAGAAAGCATCGGAGCGGCATGTGGGAAAGAGATGACGTTCACTCTCGGTTTGCTGAGAAGTGGAAGCCATGCATGCGTGGGCGGCAATTTGTACCCCCAACATTCCTTGCCTTCCCCGCTGGGCTTGCGGCCCCGCCATCCTGCTGGTGCAGCGGCGCCCCCTGGCTTAACCGTGCACTGCGTTGCTTGCTTGTGACAAGTGCGCCGCCATGCGCGCAGGCCGGCGTGCCATTCTTTTACAGCAGCGGGTCGGAGTTCGAGGAGATGTTTGTGGGCGTGGGCGCGCGGCGCGTGCGCGACCTGTTTGCGGCGGCCAAGAAGCGGTCGCCGTGCATCATCTTTATGGACGAGATCGACGCGGTGGGCGGGAGCCGCAACCCCAAGGACCAGAAGTACATGAAGATGACGCTGAACCAGCTGCTGGTGGAGCTGGACGGCTTCAAGCAGAACGAGGGCATCATCGTCATCGCCGCCACCAACTTCCCCGAGTCCCTCGACAAGGTGCGCGCAGCGCTCCGCCCACCCCAGCCTGTCCACTGGCCCCTGTCTACATTGGCCAGGGTGCTCCAGGCTGCCTCTGCTGCGGAGCAAATGTTGCACTCTGCTGCGCAACGCCCCTGATCTGGGTCCCGCATGAGTGTTCCCGGGCTTCTTGAATGCCATCGGCCGTCATTCGCTGTCTCGAGATTGGCCTCCCAGCGTACGCTGGGCAGTTGGAGTCTGTGCGTTGGCAGCGTGTTGTATCCGCCGTCAGCCCTGGGATCCGCTACAGCCAACTCTTCTGACTTGATTGGCGAAATAGCACCTGTCTGGGGTGTCCCTTCCGCTCCCTCGTGTGCGGCGGCCTGCGGGTGAAGAGCGGCGGTGGCTGACCGCGTGCTGTTGGCTGCCGCAGGCGCTGGTGCGGCCTGGCCGCTTTGACCGCCACGTGGTGGTGCCCAACCCGGACGTGGAGGGGCGGCGCCAGATCCTGGAGTCGCACATGGCCGCCATGCCGCGCGGCGCCGACTGCGACCTGACGATCATCGCGCGCGGCACGCCCGGGTTCAGCGGCGCGGACCTGGCCAACCTGGTGAACGTGGCGGCGCTCAAGGCGGCCATCGACGGCAAGAAGGCCGTGGACATGGAGGCGCTCGAGTTCGCCAAGGACAAGATCCTGATGGGCACCGAGCGCCGCAGCGCCGTGCTCACGCCCGAGTCGCGCCGGCTGACCGCGTACCACGAGGGCGGCCACGCGCTGGTGGCGCTGCACACGGACGGCGCGCTGCCCGTGCACAAGGCTACCATTGTGCCGCGCGGCATGGCGCTCGGCATGGTCACGCAGCTGCCCGACAAGGTGCGCCCACCGCGGCAGTGCCTCCCTCCTGCCAGAGCCTGCAGCTGAGTGTCCGGCTGCCGGCTTCTGGTTCCCTGTTTCCGCGTGCTGCCATGGCTGCTTCGTCACTCTCGTTTCCCGCATAACAAGCTGGAAGGTCCGAGGCTTTATCCTTGTGCGACTACTCTGCTGTCCCCTCTGCTGTGACGGCCGGTGCTGACGTGGCATGGGGCGTGTGGCGGGTGTGCAGGACGAGACGTCGGTGAGCCGGCGGCAGATGCTGGCCCGGCTGGACGTGTGCATGGGCGGACGGGTCGCGGAGGAGCTCATCTTCGGGCCCGCCAACGTGACGTCAGGCGCGAGCAGCGACATCGCAGCCGCGACGCGCATGGCGCGGCAGATGGTGACCAAGTACGGCATGAGCGCCGCGGTGGGCTGCGTGGAGCTCAACTACGAGGACGACGGGAAGCAGCTCTCGCCCGCGACGCGCGCGGTGGTGGAGGCGGAGGTGAAGGACATGCTGGGCGCCGCGTACGCCAACGCGAAGCGCATCCTGGTGGAGCACGAGAAGGAGCTGCACGCGCTCGCGCGCACGCTGCTGGATCAAGAAACACTGACGGGGCAGCAGATCAAGGTGCGCGCCGTATCCTCCTCCAGCTGGGGCCCCGAGTCGCGACCACGTGCATCGCATGTGCTTCTGTGAAAGCTCGAACAACGATGGTGATCGTTGCGTCAAACAGTGGCACTGGTGTGCTTGTTTTGTGTCCGCTGGGATCCTCGTGCGCTTCCTGTCAGTGCTTGCCCACTGGAGCCGCGCTTGCTACTGGTGTAGGTTGTCACTATCGATTAAGTGCCTTGTGCTGTGCAGACGTTGATCGAGGAGGTGCGCGCCGGACGCGAGCCCAGCATGCTGGCGGCCCCGCGGGGCCAGCCGGTGGGCGCGGCACCGGCAGGCAGCATGGCGGGCAAGGGGCCGCGCAAGCAAGGGGCGGGCGCGGCAGCTGCGGCCTCATGACAGTCGAGTCGTTGTTGCCATCGGACGAGGCCGGGGTTGGCAAGCAGGACGTGACGCAGGAAGAAGTTGACCGCGTGCGCATGGGGGAGCTTCTGAAGGCAAGGGCATGTCAACTTCCCTGTTCAGCTGTAGCTGGTTATGCCCACACTCCGCTGTTGCTCTTTGCTGGAGGCTGTGTACACGGCTGGTAAAACACGCAGGGCGATAGTGCATGTCTTTACCGTTGGAAGACTGGGGAGGACATAGCGCTGGTTTGAACGGCACCCTTTGGGTTGAGGGTAGACTTCAATTTTCCGTGTATTGAATCATTGACACACGCAGGCGTCTCAGGTCATGCAATGGATGCAAACAATGAGCTCTATCTTGTCATCAACGTATTACATACTTTGCACTGATCCCGATTGGCAATATTAGCACGTACTACAAATGGTTAAATCTTGACACCATCCAGACAGTTGATTGAGCACGTGAACTTTCATATGGGCCTCTGGCAGCTTTGGCGGTTGCAGTTTCTTCGACCACCGTACGTGTATAAGCTAAATACTATGATTTTGAAGTAAGTTAGGCAGTCTTGATCAGCAAGAATGCGGCTCTTGCGGGGTTGGTACAGCTGTGGCCCCACGAGCTAGAGTCCTTGAAGTTGCCAAGCTGGTTGTTGCATTGATTAATGCTTATCACATATGGATAGCAATGCATACCAGCGTACGCATGATACATGTCATTATTTGCAATTACCGCGTCGATCGTCGCTGTATCTTAGACTCATCGATATAATGGTAAACATATCGATCTTTTCATACTGCTAGCTCTGGCCAGCCGCGCTGCGCTGCCATGCAGGAGATGTCGCAAAGTGTTGAAGTCGGATCGAGCTAGCCTGCTGCGGGCCGCGCCCCAGCCAGTTTTAGCTTGCGTTCTCCGCGGCGCCTCAACCACACCCTGAGCTAGCTACAAGCAAAGGAGATTGGTCACTCACTACAGGCTCGCTTGACTGCATGGAACTTATGATGTTAGTCGACATGTAGCACTTGCCTGGCGATGCCAACTAACATATTGCACCTGCATTGATGGTGGATGAGGGACCATCTACAATGGTATGGATGACAGCAAAGGCCCTGGGGCCCATGACTGCATGTGTCAAACTGGCATGCAGCATGCAGCATCGATCATGCGCATGTCAGTGTGTTGTATACATGGAGGGGTCGTAAAAGTACGTGTCCCTGCTACTATGTGTCGATCTTATCCACAGCTGCCACTATGATGATTGTGACCAGACGTCACCACGCATGTCATGGCATGGTCAAGTAAGTTCTCGCTTTACTGATGGCTTATTGCCTGTTTTCTTTTTGTCTCTCTTTTCCTTTTTCTTCAATGCATCCATATGCGCCTTCAATACTGTCGCATAAGCTGTTTGGAATCGGGCAACTTCTTTGACGGAAACCTGGAGAAATGCAGACCCACGTGAGGCTCAACAAAAGCTCCCCGCTTTCGCGTCTGTGTTTGCACCGGAAGCTATCCAACAAGTGAACACTGAGGAAGATGAGCAACAATGTGGTCGTGCATTTGCCCCTTGACAAGCATATCACGCCCCAACACGAGGTGGACACGAGGTGGTACCTCACCGCTGTGCTGATCTTCTTCTTGCCATCGGTGGCCCGTATGAGGCACTTGTAGTCCGCCTCCGCGGGTGCGTCCCCTGCTGCTGCAGGCGCCCCCTTCTTCTTTGGGCCTTGCAGGGCAGCTGCAAATAAGCCACAGCATCACTGATGCACGCAAACAAGACATGCCCCGAACAGGCCAGGGCGGGAAGTTGTCCAGCAAGCCGAGAATCAGAAGGCAAGGACTGCCAGACAACATAATAAACAACCTGCACGCAGCAAAAGCTGCATTCCCAGCTACTCCACACCTTTGGATAACTGCTCAGGTGTCTACGTCAGGCCGACAGCTGGGCAGCTAGCGGCCCACCTTTGGCAGCCACTTGAGACAAACCAGACACTTGCCTTCCCTTCTGAAGGCGAGAATCCAAAATGGTTGCGATCCAAACTTTGGGTAGACCGCTAAGATCCCCCGCAGACTATCAGATCAGGTTCGCCAGAGAAGCCAGTAGCTTTCACTTCACAATCAGTCCCCTCTGAAATTGGAGCTTAAATGTGCTTTCAAAGCAATCCTTCCAGTTACAAATGGCCCTCAAGCAGTGGCCGGACAGAGAGCAGTCCGCGAGAGGACGGGCGCCACTGCTGCCCTCCCCGCAACCGCCAGGGCCTGGTGCTCTACTCTGCGGGGGGGTTGGGGCTGCCCCGCAGCTCAATTGGCTCTACGCACAACCTGAGGGCGTTGCAGGGTAGCGTGGTGCGCTGCACACTCACATCGCTTGCAGGTGATCCACACAGTGCGTGCCGGCCCGGTGCTGCTCTTATTGCGCTCGTACAGCTTGTTCAGCTCATTCAAGAAGGGGTCCGGCTCCAGGAACACCTGCACGCAAGCCCCCGCACAGGGCGCGGCACCGCCAGTCAGCACCCTCCTGCGCGGTCATCCAGAGCAACTAGGAAACACAGTGCATGGCTGGCACCGGAGAGGACACCCCACTCCGGCACGTCAGACCGGCAGCACCTTCCTTCCAAGAAGCTAAGCAAGGCACCCGCTTACCATGCCGCCCAACCAACCTCCGCTAAGACGGCTGCCAGCTTATGGCAACGCCGACGCCAACGCCAATGGAGGGGCCGCTTCCTTGGAAGCTACCTCCCGACCTCCTACTACTAAGTCCTACCCGGTATGTGCCATTGCTACATCCTAGCTGCAGCCTCATGCCAATGGCCCTGGGGTCTCATGGGCAGGACGAGGCTGGGAACTAGAGGGGCCGCCGCGCTGCCCCAACTTGGTAACGGCTGAGCTGCCTAAGCCATCGTAATGCATCGGACGGACAAAGTTCACCGTGGTCTGTGGTTACGCGCCAACATATGCCCTGAGCGCCACACGATGCCTTCTAACCTGCCATCGACGGCGGCAACTCCGTTTCCAGAACTTTCACCGACTGTTCTGCGTGGTGCAGTGCGTTGCGCCAGATCGGTGCAAGAAGCCTGTCCAGCGCCAAAACTCGTGAAAGGAGAGCTTGGAAGTTGGAATCTGGATGAAAAGGCGCTGATACATCATACATCTCAGGAGACTTGACTCGTGAGCCTGTAGCGAGGCTTCTCCCTGGGCGTATCCATCTTGCGTCTTGTCCGGTGCTTCTGTTGGGCCCTTAAGCGGTCTGAGGATCTGAGGACGGCTGTTGCACAAGTGATGGCATCAAGTACTGCGTGCGTGCATAGTATAAGTGGATTAAGTTTTGGCACAGGGTTCGGTAATGCTGCAGAGCACAGCCGGCGCGAGCTGTATGCAGAGCGCAGGCTAGCTCCCCGCTGCCAACCTTTGCCTGCTGCAACGCCAGCGTCATGCAGGTACGTCCCCCATGCTCAAGACACCTGCCCGCACTTTCTCTTCTGCTGCTTCTGCTTCCCCCTTCTTGCCAGCCCCTCCTGTTTTGAGTGGTGTTTTTGCCCGTTTGGCTGCTTCTCCCCTTTTCACATGTCGTCGTGTGCCCCACGTGTTGCAGGCTTGCCAGCAGCTGCAGCAGCTTTGGAGGTGGCAGCACCCCCTTGCGGTGGCAGGCCCCGCCCAGATCTAGCAGCCAACACGGGCGGCACCGAGGTCGGCGGCTCTCTGTCAGGGCAGCCAAGGTGAGCCGGAGCGAAGCGCTTTTTTGAACTGCGTTTACATCGGACAGAGGCAGGCCTGGGCTCCAGCGCGCGGGGGGCGTCCTCTATGCTTGCTGCTTGCGGCCTGCGGCTTGCGGCCCCACAGGCGGGTCTGACTTGTGGCGGTGGTGCGTGTGCAGGACTACTATGAGGAGCTGGGGGTTAGCAAGACAGCGGAGAAAGCGGAGATTAAGAGTGGTGAGTGCCGCACTGCAGCCCTGCCAGCCGATGCCGCAGCGCGGGCTCTTCAGGCAGCTCCACTCGTTGCGGGCTGTGGTGCACTGAGCAACCATGGCGGATTGTGTTGGATGCAGTGGCTGCCACTGAGATCTTCCAGGGACCCCGTATTGGTGCGCTTGCTTCCCAGCGCTGCCGGCTGCTGACCAATCGCGGGCCTGTGCGCAGCGTACCGGCGGCTGGCGCGCAAGTACCACCCAGACGTGAACAAGGAGAAAGGCGCAGAGGAGCGCTTCAAGGCCATCAGTAATGCATACGAGGTGCTTTCCGATGATGAGAAGCGCGGCATCTACGACAAGTTTGGGGAGGCTGGCCTCAAGGGGGGGGCCGGAGGCGGGCCAGGCATGGTAAGTAGCACCACGCGCAGCCCCGAGGGCCCGCCCCAGCCGGCCGCTGAGCTGGGGCAGATGCGTCCTGGGGGCAGGGGCCCACGGACTGTGCCTTGCTTGATGGCAGAGCAGGGGGAGCAGTGGCGCTTCCAGCACCGTCCCCAGATCATATGGTGGCAAGGCGCCAGTGAACGAGAACAGTTGTTGAGGGAAAGGTCGAAACAAGTTACTCGCGGAAGAATGAGAAATATCATTTTTTGAAGGTTGTCAGGCGTTTAGTTCACTCCTGAGAGAGATCCGCATATGATTGTCCCTGTTGTTCAGCCAGTTCTGCTTGGGTCTCCTTCTTTTGCTTTGCTTCCTGCGGTGGGCCAAAAGCAGCCATCTGTCGGGCCCCGCCCCACGGAGGCCCTCTTCTCCTTGCTGCCGTAACTTGCCATAAAGGCTGCTGCTGTGCCTGAGCTTGTTTTGCAGATGCAGGCTCTCGAGTCCCTTGTCAACACCGCAGGTATTGTGGCCTTGACCAGAGTTGGTTCCCAATTCAGTCGAGCCTTGCATGACGATTTTCAACCATACCCGTCACTCGCTTGCCTACAGGACTTTGAGAGTCCGTTTGACATCTTTGAGACGTTCTTTGGCGGAGGGATGGGCGGGCGCGGCCGCGGTGGTGCGCGCGCCGGCCCGACCATGGGCGACGACGAGCGGCTGGACATCACGATCGACTTCAAGGACGCCGTGTTCGGGACGACCAAGGACGTGGACGTGAGCCGCCTCGAGGTGTGCGCCACCTGCAGCGGCAGCGGGGCCAAGCCGGGGACCACCCCGCGCACGTGCGCCACGTGTGGCGGGCAGGGCCAGGTCATGTCGGTGGCGCAGACGCCGCTCGGCAACTTCCAGCAGGTGTCCACGTGCCCCACCTGCTCCGGGTCAGGCGAGGTGAGGCCCGCCACCGCGCATAGCTGCAGGGCCCCTCGCAAGATGCGCACGGGGGGTGGGGCGCAAGCCTGGGTCATGTGTCTGGCAAAGCTGTGCGGGGACCTGCCTGGCGCAGGTGTGAAAGATCGATATGGTCTCTTAGCTGATACAGTCGAGCTTGGACGGACGACTCTAGAATCTATAAGGGGCCATCTACTTTATTTGTCAGTTGTGTTTTTCTAGCGTCCAGGCTACGCTCTGCTGTTTGAGCGTGGACGTTCTGGACGACAGTTGCCGTTTTCGATTGATGAAGAGCCGTGAAATGCATTTTCGAGCGAGCTCCCCCAAGCTGGCATTTCCAGTCCTGCGCACTATTTCTCTGCGGGCATGCACCTTAGAAGCTGAGTGTCGGGATTTGCCCGACGTCAGCAGCTACCTTCCTACGGCGTCGGATTTGCACGGCAGTTTTGTGAGGGTCTTGGCAGCGTTCAATTGGCTGTGTCCATGCATGACCTACGCCCAATCCAAACTAACTGGGTTTTTGGAGTCACTTCTGAAGAAATTTTCCTTCCGCGGCTTCGTTTGTTAACCAAAAACGGACGTTGTGGTTCGCTGTGTGGTCTTTCGACTGCTCCCAGGGCGAACAAGAAGAGGGAAACATGGCCACGGGCATGCGGCCCTCCTTAGCTGCCCACTGTCGAGCCGGCTCCGGCCCAGATCCATGTTGCTCGTATTGCCCGTGCGCCTGGCTGCCCCGGCTGCTCGCTGACTGCGTGCTGGCGGTGGTGGCGTGCAGCAAGTGGACCCGTGCGGGACGTGCAGCGGCGACGGCCGTGTGCGGCGCAAGAAGTCGCTGAGCCTCAAGATCCCGGCCGGGGTCGACACGGACAGCCGGCTGCGCGTGCGCGGGGAGGGCAACGCGGGGCGCAAGGGCGGCCCCGCGGGCGACCTGTACGTGTTCATCCGGGTGAAGGCCGACCCGGAGCTGCGGCGCGACGGCAGCAACGTGCTGGTGTCCGCCAAGATCAGCTACCTGGACGCCATCCTGGGGACCACCGTCAAGGTCAAGACCGTGGACGGGCCCGTCGAACTCAAGATCCCCGCAGGTGAGCCACCCAGGACCCTTGTACGACTGGTTGAAATCAACATGTCATTGAGCCCAACCCTGGGTAGCAGCCCGAGAGAGGGCCTGCTGGGAGGGCGATCAGCTGATGGAGATTGGGTGTTGCACGTGCATTGTCCAGGAAGTTTGCCGCAGCTTGCGGGCAAGTTTGTCGGGGGGGGCGATCTTGAAAATGTACTGGACGCAGCAGCATGCAGAGTGTTCCACGCGTTCGACCAGCCGTAGGCTCGCGAGGATTTCCGAGGACCAGCACAGATTCGCTGCAGAATGGGTAAAATGTGGTACTTCCTTTGTTTGCTTTCGTACTTGGAGCTTTGATAGTTTGATGCATGCGAACGGTCAAAGCTGGATCCTGCCAAGAGCCGGCTGCTTCTAGTCGGATTCAAGAGGCAAACTGAGGGGATTGTCAGCATGCTGCTTCCAGCGCGTGCGCTTCGGTTGTGCCCACGCCGTGGTCGACATGCGGGCCAGCCACAGCCGGGGGCTCCTACAGCGGCTGATCGAAGGGGGGCAGCTGACGTGCGCCCTGCAGCTGTCCGGGCACAGCGGACGCTGTCCTTCCCGCTCCTGCTGCTGGCTGTGCTGACTGCGCCCGCGTTGCTCGTGGTGGTGCAGGCACCCAGCCGGCCACGACGCTGGTGATGTCCAAGCGCGGCATCCCGCAGCTGAACCAGCCCAGCCTGCGCGGCGACCAGCTGGTGCGCGTGCAGGTCGAGATCCCCAAGCGGCTCTCCCCCGAGGAGCGCAAGCTGGTCGAGGAGCTGCGCGACATCAACAAGGTCGCAGTGGCGCGGTAGGAAGAAGGGGCGCGGGCGCTAGGAAAGAGGTCCCGCTGTTCACAAAGTCAAACGGTATCGAGGTAAGCACTCGCGCGAGTGCAGTGCATGAGTGGAACCTACAGCTTTGGAAAGCAGTATCGGGGGTCGACATTGAACCGTTCGTTAGACCGTTTGTATATGGTGACCACACAAGTGATTGATGATCCAAAGATTCATTTGGATGCATCATATGTCGCCTTCATATTTCCGCACGTATGGGGGGAAGGCTTATGAGTCATGTGAAGTCTTTATGCTACTGTTCTGCTGGTTGTCTCCAGCTTGATTTTTTCATAGGAGATGGCGGACATCGAGTTGAGAAAGTCACAGCAATTGGTGGCAACAACAAGCCAACCTCATATTTGCAAATACGGTTAGGTTGCGGGTGGTCAATTTTCAGCAAATTACTATATGCACACGTGTGTTCGTATCCGATCGAGACCGGGCCCCGCTCCACGGCCATGGAGATCATCAAGCTGCCGGGCTAAGGGACCATTCTTAATCGGTTTACTCTATAGGATTGATGTGCTTCAGTGTGTTTGACCGGCCACATGATGGATGATGTCCAGGCTAGGTCGAACTCGTTCATCACACAAGGCTCTATTGGATGGTGTCGGCCATGCAATGATAGGGATATCCTGACTGATATAACCCGAGGGTTAAGGCAGAACTGCGATGTGCGCGCTAGCTCGCGCGGCGAATGCAAGGTATTATAGTATCTCGAGCTATGTTACTAATCGCATATCAATGGCCGGCATAACTTGTTGTACGCCTGCCAGGCGTATCCAGTGCTGATCGGAAGCTTCAGCAATAACTTTCAGAACCACACTTGATGCATATGTGCCCAACTGGATCGAAGCTATCGTCTGCCGCGGCCACATGATGCAGTCAAACTATATGAGTTATATGTAACGTACGTACACGCACATGTTGAACGCATACTGAGCATGTGTCAACGCATATTCCGAACATGAAAGATCAATGCATGATCTAGGTATACATGAATTTCGATATGGCATGCATGGCTGCAGCCGCGCCGATCCGCGTCATGACATAGAATAGTCTTGCTCAATCACATGCAATTAGGATCGATGCATCATTGCGTGATCGAGCAAGGTTATCCTACGTACATTGCCCTGTGCATGCACTATTTTAAATTGGATTTTATAAATCACATTTATTCGAAGTCGTAATCATTTGTCGGTTCATATCTTTGTATATTGCTCAGATCCTCAAGATAGACTAGAATCTCAATTCAGAATTGCTTTTGAACTAGGTACATAAGAGTCATGATCCGTTGTATCTGTCATGCGCAGAATTGAATCGCCATGTACATGTCAGACCTCAAACTGAATCACAAGAACCATTTATATACACTACTAACCTTAACATTCGCATAATGGAAAGTGCACAACAAGTTGGAAAAGAGCAGGTTCATTCTCTAAATGAGAGCGCTGTTTTCAAAGCGAGTCTGGTCCCGTCCTAAGCATGTATGAGAAAGAAATGACCATGCAACGAACTTGAAAGAGAATTGTGATCCACACAGCCCCGTAAGAAAGACTTCCCCTCACTAGTTTTTCGGATCCACTTGCATCAATCTATGATTCTAATAAGAGGTTACGAAAACTTCAAAATCAGGTAATTATCCACTGCCACACCGCCATCAATCCCGTAGTATCAAGGACGCCGAGGACCTACGGCACAGCAACCACATGTCAAAGGAGAACTCACCTGGCACCTATGAACCATTGAGCACCTGACACTTGTAACTTCACCAGCACCTGAGATTATCCCCTTTCTTATGCGGCAAGTTCCCTTTCGAAACAGGCCAACTCACCGCTCTGGTGAATGGTTGCAATAAGATAGATAAGTCAAAGCACATCGTACTGAAACATGACCTTGCCAAATCCAATGATTTAATCCTGGAAACAGAGAACCCGAATGGTAGCTAAAGCACGATAGAGGTTCGAACTTCAGCACTTCCAAGCGAGCTTTCCTGTTGCGAATTACAAGAAACCAGACTTCGAAATCGGGCTGTTACTTGGGAGCCACTATTTTCGTCAAGTCAATGTTGATAAGAGGCATGTCGACTTTACATGTAACAAGCTAGACGCATGTCAAGCAGTCCAACTTGCAGCTGGTTAGAGCAGTCCAAATTCCAAATTCCCTGGTCAAACTCAGCACGAGCTACAAAGCCTGGGCAAATGGGGTCATGATGACTTGCAAATGACAGCTGGACCTTGAGTAAGATGAGAGACTAATGACGGCCTATTGTCACCGCAATTGAGAAGCAAGCCCTGAAGTGCTGTCTGCCCCCTTTTGAAGGCATTCAGATCTGAAACACACCTGGTCGCAGATTGTCTTCCCGGTGTTCGCTTCAGCAGCCAGTCCTGCTGCCACTCCTAGGAGAGCTAGTGCCCCATTCAACTCCTCCTTTTGACGCTCCTTCTGCACAAGCGCTGACCCTGCTTCATGCTTCATCCACCATTGCCTCATCTACCGACATTATTACAAAGCTTCTGTGGCGGAAGGGAGGGCTGTCATCAATGGATCTTTTAGTGCTGATGACAAGCTGACAGTCCCGAGATGGAGTGTTGCTTGCTGGTTGTTGCTGCATAAGAGTGCTACCAAAATATCCTCACAGCAAATCTGCTACTTTTGCGCCGCTGCTCCAGCTGCACCAGTGCCAGTTGCTTTGCCACCACGGGATCCACCATCTCCTGGGACCTGACCTCCGGCGCCATGCGCTTGTTGGCTTGCGGCGGCATCCGGGCATCCTGCACCTGCACAGCTCACCCGTTTTGATTCACCAACATAAGCGGTAGACATGAACTATCACGTCTGGTGCCGTTTAGCTCTGCAACTGGCAACAGTGCAGTGCATCATATCAACATACCTGCAAACAAGCCCGGCGGCATTTCCAGCTCCATCACTGACAGGACAAGTACCTGGGCTTGCACACTTGTACGCTTGTGTCGCCAAGCTGGTTTGTGCTGCCAGTGAAACTCTCCAACAAACCATTTTGCAGGAATATGTCTTGCAGTTTGCTGATGATGTGGTACTCTGTCGGTCAAGGCTAAGTTTCGAGCGGGTCTGAAACTCCTCTTAGCTTGAGCCAAAGCTGGGCTTGAGCCCCATGATTCGCACGATGTTGTGGTCTGCATATGGTATACTTGCATCTTATGCAGCCTTTTTGCTGTCAGACACAGATTGGAAACACAGAGAGATGAGCAACAATTGAATGCTACCTCAAGTTGAGTCAAAGACGAGTTGACAATAGGGGGTCCTTTTTGTGTGTACTGACATCACTCACAGAGTCACACCACACCTATGACCATGAATCCTACTCCGGATTTTGCCAACTCCGGATTTTCGACTGTCATTCATCGATGAGGATCCAAACACCGGTCTCTGGCCCGTGCTTTCACCACCTCTCTGTCTGAGCTGAGGAGATCGCCCGGGCGACATTCAGTAGCCCTGCCCGTAGCCCAACTTGCGATGTCTCTTCAATTTAGAAATAGTAAGCCCTGGCAATAGTAAGCTCCTGCACTAACACTAAAAACCTAACCCACTAAATCACCCGCTCCGCACCCGAACCCACCCTAACCACCAGACTAACCCCACCCGTCCTAGGCTATTGCTAAATTGAAGATTCTTCAACTTGCGCCCTCGGGGCCGGAAGAACCTCGGCCGGGGCTTGGTTACCGCAGTCGGGTTGCATTGGTCAGACAAGAAACAATACACACGAGATAGCCTGGTTTAACAAGCCGGTGTAAATGAGAGGGGGTGTCCTGCAGGGCTTTCACCAGCTCGGGGTTCGCCTCCCGACCAATTCCAAGGCAGGTTATCTTGCCCGTTAGAGAATACCTACGGTAGATAATAGGTCAAGAAGTGCCTCGTGTACCTATTTGCGATGTCCGCCGGCAACACCCCGGTAGAAGCAACTTTTCGCGCGTCCTCGTACGGTAGGTTTATGCAAAAATCCGGAGTTGAATAAATCCGGAGTTGAATTCATGGTTATCCACCTCAGGCTCTGGAGACCATGGCTTGGCATGAGCTCCCTCCATGAAACCGGTACTGTGTGTACCTCCCTAGGTACGGGTACACAGACTCATGACTCGCGCTGTGGGTAGGTATACGGTACCTATTACCAGCTGCTGTGGCTCCAACGTCAACAACGGGATACAAGCCGGCAGAAACGGCTACAAAGAGCGCCTGCCGTTCAACGGACGCCGCTGTGCAGATGCACGTGCTCGAAAGATCGGAATAGCGACCGACAACTACGGAGGGCGGCTGTACTTGTCGCCGCCTGGACCGACGTGTGCAAGTTCGAATCTGCCGCATCGAACTCAGCAAGCCACGTCGACCAGTACCGTTTTATGATCACCACAGGTAAAAGTACCATTCGTTCTTTTCTTGATTGCAACAAGTTTTGGCAGCACAAGAGTCTCCCAAGTTTCTCCCTACTGATGTGCAGGGATGGAGATGCGGAGGAGGAGGCTTGGAATTTCAAAGTCCGCGGGCTTGCTGGCTTAATTCTGCTGCACCGTTCACGGCCTACGTGTGCGTCCGTTCGGTGAACCTTTATGGCTTTCTGAGGATTTTTACTGAGGGCATCCTATTCTTTAGATTGCCCTCCATAATGAGGCATTTGCAAATCTAAGCTAAGATCTATATTCGCTTCGGTGTCGTAACAAACGGGGCAACCAGAGAAACTCTGGAAGCAGTAGCTGAACTAGCATGACGCCCCCCAGTGCTGCGTTTGAGGAGGAGGAAGACATGTTTGCCTCTGGCAATAAGCGGAACCCGTGGGTGCCAGCCGGTAAGTGTCAGCCTGTGAAGCCCCATGTTCTGTTGTTGAAGCCGCAAGGATGCCAGCTTGACAGCACTGTGCTCGTTAGGGCAGGGGTTCTAGAACTTCTTTTCGTAGTCCGATGCTGCTTCTTGCAAAGTGATGATGGAGGTGTTTGTGTGGTGCACCACTGCTGTGTCGCTGTGTTGTAGAGTTCTGTTGCCCCGCAGGGTCTGTCAAAGGTAGCTGACTTCGTACCACCCATGCAGCCTGAGCACTTCAACCTGCTATGACTGCTGGAAGTGCATTGGTATGCTCTCCTGTTTGATGGACATCAACTGAAAGAGTAACGGGACTGGAATGTTGTAGGTGCATTCTTGACGGCCGGCGTGCTGGCTGCGGGACTTTATGCTTTCAAGAAGGGGAACACGCAGAGGAGTCAACAGCTCATGCGCGCACGAGTGGTTGCCCAGGGGGTCACCATTGCCATCATGGCAGCGTCGGTCGGAGCGGGGGGCTTCTCATTGAAAGGATAGACTGTAATAGCAGGATCTATTATGGCATCAATACGTCGTGATCCCTTACTTAGGACCTGCAGTGATTTTCTGAGTGGACAAGGAGGTCATCATGGGAAACTCCACAGGGGAGTGTTTGGCCATCTGCATGTACATACCAGCAAAAGTTCTTCTGTAATATAGCTAGTGTCTCCATTATGAGATGTGTTCAGTGTTGCTCACATTGAGCAAACAGATATCAAAGAAACTATTGGATCAAAATTCCTCATAATCTGCAAATACTTAAGTTCGAAGGGACCTCGATTTTAGTGCTGATTGACAATCATTTCAGTACGTCATCGAGCAAGCAGAATATCGACCAGAACAGGTGATCGACCAACGAAAATAGCTTGCGCTTATAGGCTTTTGCAAGTTTAACGAGGTCTTTGCGAGCAAGAAATGCACTGATCGGTCCAGTCATAGAAGGTGCAAATCTATAGAGCGTTCAGTGACAGACACTTTGTATGGTGCAGAGCAGAGAACATACGAGCATGATCATTATGCCGGACTAGCTGGCAATTTAAAGGTACGCATGCCACATGTATCTGACTCTATTATTGACGCCTTCCTCACACTATTATTGCAAGCCATCTGGATTTGGGGAGCAAGAAACCATGCCATGTGCGGGAACATATTTGCAATATTTGTCTAAGTTCTAGGGTCTTCACTGCATGCTATACTAATTCTGCAACAACACAATTGGTCCGCTCAACATGACCATATAGTCCGCAACATTATATGGAGCCGCGCTCAGCCTGCGAGCTGCCGGTAAAGTATACCTTCGAAGTCCGGATGGTCACTTGCTGTTATAAACCCTGAGCCACGCTGAGCCATCGGGCAACACTCCGGTGAGACCGGGATACAATGAGTTGACTTTGCAGCTTGCTACGGCTGCAAGTCATGTCCGATGTTCGTCATTATTCACTGCGAAGAACAAGCAACAATCTGCAACCTACACATCATGCATACAAGGGCGAAATGTTCGTAGGCTCTACAAGTTTGAGATTGGTGTGATTCGACATATATTTCGACTATGGCCGCGGGCGTGCAAAGCCGGACAACGATCGATCACTTTCGAAGCCATCTCTTGCATATGCGCGAGCACTTTTTGGTGCAGACGATCCGTGTTCACCGCGCGTATACACCGTGACTGATTAGACTAGCAGATGTCACTGCAGGAAGATCTTGATTCGGGACCATGTGCTCCAGAATCGACCACGTATCAAAGAAATCTGAGATTATCGTATCAACTATTTTTTTTGTAGAGTCGAGCATGTTAAGTCCAATTAGTCGCGGATGCAAAGCTCTAGGTCTAAGACACTTACATGCACTTCATACATGTATGCCATGAGAAGCTTATGGCCTATTTAAGGCTACGGCGATCGTACGTTATGAAAAGAGACTATCGAGTTAATGGGCCGGGGCGCGCAGAAGCTTAGCAGGAAGCTCATCATTGGCCTTCAATGTCAATAATCCAATGATGATTCGACTTACCCTCGTTACGAATTTTCACAATACTTGGAGGATAAATGAGGGTGCACATGGGCTCTTGGATTCGGTCCCGGGTGGGGCTTGTTGCAACGGAGATGGCTTTCAACACTGTTACTATGGTTGGTCTCGATCGTTTAGCAAACCCTTGTCCCAGGGCTACGATATTTGAAGGAGCATGCCCAAAAGCATATTGAAGGACTTGCCATAATATACAGAGAAGAACCTCCGATATTTTGAAAATCGGTCCACTACCGTGAATAGCTTTACTACGATTGTGGAATCCCATGCACGTCAGTGCATATTTCCCCCATGTACCTTAGCGCAGCCCACTACCAGTTCATCTTATTTGCTATCCATGTCACAAGGGAGCTCGTTTGACGTCGGAGCCAATAATGATAAGCAGACAATACGCACAGTGCAAGGAAAGCAGAAACTGCCATCTTACCATAAACGACATGCATCTTGCAAACTTGGATATTGATAGCCTGCCTGCGGCCACGTTTCTCCAATCTTTCAGATCAGAGACTGCTTGCATTTGCCCAACAGTATATAATCAATGATTCGAGCACAAGAACAAAGTTAGTAAGCGGATATTACAAAGAAGTTGACTCGACAACAGGAAGCAGTTTCGATATTTGCTCTAATGGAAGGTTGTCGGACGTAATTTTCCGAAGAGAAGGTGTGTTGTACTCTGAGCTCGGAAACTTCACCACCTGCAAAAAGACTGGGAAGAGTCATAAACGGCGAATAATAGACCCAAGAGAATCATCGAACCGGAGACAAAGATGCCCTGCAGCCTACCAGGCCGCACAGCAGGCCCGCCCCGCTCACCGTCTTGCCCTCGGGTGTCGTGAGCTGCTCCCAGCCCTTCCGCTCCTGCTGCCCGATGTACTTGTCGAGCAGGGGGCCGTTCATGTTGATGGCCTGTCACCACGTGCCAGCAGAGGCGGCTCAGCAACGGGACAACGGACCCTAACGACCATAGCGAGAAAGAAGGCATGTGGCGCAGATCCCAATTGGGACCCCCCCCACCAGGGAGGGGGGTCAGCTGGATGATTTCATTTCAGTTGCATCAAAAGTTGGATGGCGGCATCTGTCCCGAAAACCAAGGGAAGGGCGTTCCAGATAAGCTTTACTGTGAGAGGCGCCGCATAAAATCTGCTGTCATCGGATGAGATCCACCTTGTTTGAGACAAGTGCCGGCTGTGCTGGGGGGCTCAGCGGCAGCGGACACGCAGCATAGCACCTTTAGACTTGGCTTCATTTCTTTCCACGCTTCCCTCTCTGCTCTTCTGTAGCAAAAGGCAAGGCTTCTGCGGCGCCACAGCTCAAAAGAAGAGCTGGTTTGCCGCGTGCACATCAACCACCGGCTCCTGCCCTGGCCCCGCAGTGGGCGGCCCTGTCCGGTGCCTGGCTGCTGCGGCAGGGGGGGGCTCACCTCTGCGAGGACGGGCAGCGGCACCCGCAGGTACGTCATGGCCAGCACGTGCACGGCATACCGCTGCATCGCCGCCTCAAAGCCTGCACCAAGCCATGCGCCGCACACCGCTCACACCCTCTCGCTGCATGCTGCTGATCAGCGCTGACATGGGTCACAGCAGCAGGAGCAGCGGAACCAGGCAGAATGCGGCCATGCGAGCTGCACACCTTTCACAACGGACATTTTCACAGGGTGTATGCGGGTGAGGCTGTGGGCGTGCCCTGTGAGTCAGGCACTGTGGGCGGGGGCACGCCGTACCTGGGATGACCTCCAGGATGTCGCGGTTGCGCGCCGCTTCGGTCCAGAACTCCTTGAAGCGCGCGGTCTGCACCACAGTACAGGCAGCGTGTCAGAGGGGGTGGCCGTCGGGTGCCAAGGACGTGGGGGTACGGCGGGGCACAGGAGCACCATGTGCGGCCCGGGGAGCCAAACAAATCCTCGTTTTAAAGGGTGGTGCTTCACACGTGCTCCTCGCATTTCGGATTTGCCACTAGTAGAGGCAGAGCTGAGACTACGAGAGCATAGCGCGT